AGAGGGGTTAAAACGGCGTATTTGTAATGCCTCGGCAAATTTCCGCTGAGTGTAATCAATGTTTGTTGTTTGTAAGTGTTTTGACAGTGTCCCCGTTGATATTATGTTGAGGAAATTTGGTGATGTGTTCCGAAATGGCTGATTTGGTGTCTGGATGTTTGTGGATGTCTTATGTTCTTTGATGCGTATGTTGAGTGGTCTGGATGTTTGTGGATGTCTTATGTTCTTTGATGCGTGTGTTGAGTGGTCTGGATGTTTGTGGATGTCTTATGTTCTTTGATGCGTATGTTGAGTGGTCTGGATGTTTGTGGATGTCTTATGTTCTTTGATGCGTATGTTGAGTGGTCTGGATGTTTGTGGATGTCTTATGTTCTTTGATGCGTATGTTGAGTGGTCTGGATGTTTGTGGATGTCTTATGTTCTTTGATGCGTATGTTGAGTGGTCTGGATGTTTGTGGATGTCTTATGTTCTTTGATGCGTATGTTGAGTGGTCTGGATGTTTGTGGATGTCTTATGTTCTTTGATGCGTATGTTGAGTGGTCTGGATGTTTGTGGATGTCTTATGTTCTTTGATGCGTATGTTGAGTGGTCTGGATGTTTGTGGATGTCTTATGTTCTTTGATGCGTATGTTGAGTGGTCTGGATGTTTGTGGATGTCTTATGTTCTTTGATGCGTATGTTGAGTGGTCTGGATGTTTGTGGATGTCTTATGTTCTTTGATGCGTATGTTGAGTGGTCTGGATGTTTGTGGATGTCTTATGTTCTTTGATGCGTATGTTGAGTGGTCTGGATGTTTGTGGATGTCTTATGTTCTTTGATGCGTATGTTGAGTGGTCTGGATGTTTGTGGATGTCTTATGTTCTTTGATGCGTATGTTGAGTGGTCTGGATGTTTGTGGATGTCTTATGTTCTTTGATGCGTATGTTGAGTGGTCTGGATGTTTGTGGATGTCTTATGTTCTTTGATGCGTATGTTGAGTGGTCTGGATGTTTGTGGATGTCTTATGTTCTTTGATGCGTATGTTGAGTGGTCTGGATGTTTGTGGATGTCTTATGTTCTTTGATGCGTATGTTGAGTGGTCTGGATGTTTGTGGATGTCTTATGTTCTTTGATGCGTATGTTGAGTGGTCTGGATGTTTGTGGATGTCTTATGTTCTTTGATGCGTATGTTGAGTGGTCTGGGTGTTTCACCAATGTAGTTGCTGTTACAGTCGCAGCTGATGTTGTAGACCACACCTTTAGGCTGTTGTTGTTTTGTAGTGTGTTTCCTACCGTTTGCCTTAATGATAGTTTTGAGAGGTGTGGCCGTGGAAAAGTAAGTGTCTATGCCTGCCTGTTGTTTAAGTAAGCGACTGTAGGGTAGTGAGATGGGAGCGGAGTCGGGCTTGTTAGTGGTAGATTTAGGTGCTGGGTTGAGGGTGGAGTTGATGACACTCAACCCACCCTGGCATCTCATCACCTGCCTAACTGACATTCCTCACCACTGGCTTCCCACTAATTCATCCCCACCACCTTGGCTTCTGCCTAATTAACTTACAGTCACTAATTGTCATGGTAATCCCACTCATCTCATTTATGTTATCTTAGCTCATCATCATGCTACTGTAGCTCATCATGTAACTTTCTTTGATGCTTTGTTTTCCTCCTTTGTTATTGGTATCTCTTTATCTTATCTTGTATATAAACTGGTGTACCCCTTCATTCCCCCATATGCTTGAAAACGGTATAAGAATCTATACCAAAACGTCGCCATTGTCAAAATAAAGAAGTTGATCATCCATAAAGTCTTGTCATCTCTCTATACCACCAACTTCTAGAATGCCACTCAAACAAATCACGACACATGCATTCACACAAATCAAAGTTATTTATTTTATGTGTACATGCATTTCCATACACACGGGAGTTATACATAAGTGCAACTCTTTACACATTTGGAGAAATATTAATTTTCAACACTTCCCTTTTAAGAGAAATAGCATGTTTGAAACATAAAGTCAAGAGAAATGTCTTTCTTTCACTTATCATAAGATCTAACAGTCCAAGCCTAAATTGACTGTGATCTCCCGGGGTTTTATGTTGATACGGAGAAGTAGGTTTCTGGGTAAGGCTCTTAAAGGTTCTATGCAAGTGTTTCTTCTAGAAGTTATTGCCATTCTGGGTAAAATATATTTACAACCATTCACATGCGAACGTACGGCTGTCCACCTCCACTTGGGAGCAATTAACAAGGATCGGTGATAAGTGGGTGATTAACAACAGTGTATTAGTGTTGTATAGCCAGACCAGTAGCTACTTAGAATCTTCACCAATAAACAAGAAGTTGTCATCCATAAAGTTGTAAGACCGAGACCTTACTGAGCGTGCAAGTAACGTGTGGGGGTGACCTGCAGTGTTCAGCTGGCAATGGAATTCTACCTCTTCTACAACTGCATTGGATTAAGCTATAATGCTTATAATGGTTTACATGTTACCTATCAGACTGTAACCAAGTACTCGCTGTCAGAGACCCCAGCGCCTTGCCCAGTCCTGCTCACACAGCTGTTTACACTGCACAAGAAACCTAAATTAGGGGACATCATCCAAAGCTGTGCCATTCCTGTAAACCAAGCACCAAAGTTGTAGCTCAAGAGGCTTCAAGAGCCTGGGCCTGTATTAGGGCTTCCACGGGTACTCGAGTACTCGAGGACGAGTCGGGTTCAGCTGGACTCGAGTCCATTTTGAAGGACTCGAGGACTCGAAAAGGGGAGATAACTCGAATTATTTGACGTTGACAGACTGCCTGCCATGTGCTAAGCACGAGCGGCCGTTAACGTCTAATATTAAGATAAGATATAACTTTATTATCCCGGATGAAATTCTGTCTCAAAATGAATATATACACAGTTCACAAAAAATATACACAATAATTACATGCTCAAAACGAATGCTATTACAAATAAAACTGACATGATATAATTCAATTAACCACATAGGTAAAGAGGCTGAATAATTCTAGTTCTAATCACATGATGGTGATTCAAAATATTTGTTGTATTCACGAATACTTGATGGTATGAAAGACTATCGAGCTCTGTTTGTTTGTGGGAAGGTAATCGACAGCAGCGTCCAGAAGGAAGAAGATCAAAATGATGAGATCAAATATGTCAACTATCAAATCTAATTTTAGCTGCCTTTTTGATAATCTGGCGCTAATAGATAAAGGGAATATACTCGAAAGACACTCCAGAATTTTTTCAAGCAGTATTAACAATTTTGAAAAGTTTGTTTTTGTTGCGATGAGACAGATCCCAATACCAACACAGAACATTGTAGGTCAACACACTTTGAATTAAGGTTTGATAAAAAACTGTCATTACGGTTTTGTCAATGCCTTGACGATAATAATGTTCAGAATCAGAAATTAGGCCAGTGACAGTGGCGTCATCTGCGAATTTCACAGTAAACAAGTCAAAAATTGACAAGTAACAGTCATTGGTATACAAAACGAAGAGTAAGGATGAAGGAACACAGCCACGTGGATCTCCAGTAGAGGTTGAGAGAAAAGAAGATTGATAGCCATCGACACTGACATATTGAGTTCTATGTACCCTGAATTCTTTAACCCATCTGATAATGGTTTCATTAACACCTAGATTAAATAGTTTACTCCTCACACGGTGTGGCTGTATGGTATTAGTTGCTACAAGTCTGCAGATGAGAGTAAATATTATACATCGTTTGAGATTTCACTTCTTAAAATGATTAGGTAACTATCTTGACAATTGATAGACATGGAGGAAGATAAAAAATCAAATATATGGGCGTATCTTGATCTGGATAGTGAAAAGAGCAAAATAACCAAATGCCGCCTGTGCGTTATCTCACTGCGTTTTGCAGGCAGTACAAGGAGTACGAAGAAAAAAACATCTGTCAAGTAAAAATCCAAATACTGATTCTGACCAATAGGAAATGTTAGTTCACATGACGATATGAAGTCGGAAAGAAGTAAGTGTTCACTTGTGTGATCGGAACACGTCATGCAATTCACGCTATTGTTTGCTTGAATTTCGAGTACTCGGGTCCGAGTCGAGTCTCACCCCTCGAGTACTCGAGTCCAAAAAAATGGACTCGTTGAAGCCCTAGCCTGTATCAATACTCGGAGTTAACAGTGAATACAGCCTTATTATAACACCCTCTGATATGCTACTTCCATATTAGGAACATCAGCAACATTCATGACTCTCGCAAATATATTTGTCAGATCACTGGCGCTTACAAACCTGTACTGACTGGAGCCTTACGTTATACTGATCGTCATCTGCTCATTTTCTGTGTTTTCATATGTATGTGCATCCATGTCCATTGTAACGTTTTAGAATACACGTACATAGCGCAAATGCACACCATCACCACAAGTCCGTCTGCGGGTCCACGTTTAACCTTTATTTCCCGGAGGTCCTGAAGACACGTATATAACTCTAAATCGTTGGTGGCCCTATTCCTAAGAGGGTTATAGGACCAGACCAAAGGCTATCCCGAAACCTCCGATGCTGCTGCTGATACTCTTTTGACACTTTTCCGCCAGAGACCATATAATAAATGGTCTCTGATTCCACGAAGTTGCGGTCTTACTTATATCTCCCATTCTCCCTTTACCTGTCAAAAGACTGTCAATACATGTCTCATCCAGCATACGCGCGTGTAGGTGTGCGCAATTACGATTTAATGATTTCACCAAACACCTAAATACAACCATTACGTATCATATATAGATATACCCTTGCATTTCATATTTACTACACCCAAACAGCATATGTAGGTAAAAGTAAATTAATTCATGTCTAAAAATACGTATTTAAAGTTCAGAATAAAAATGGACGAAATACACAGATTTCAAGCTGGCAATCTCAAATCTAAATTTACACAGAAACGACGTGACAACAAAGACATAATTATTAGTGGTATGTCCATGCAATAAACAATGAGAGTAGCTTCCCTTAGACAACAGCTTATATTGACGTCAGCGAATAATGTGAAAGATCCTGCACACGGAAGTAAGGAAAACCTAAACTTTGTACAGTTTTCTCCCATAATGACAGCTATCAGTTTATACATTTCTACATGTAGATATGTAATGCAGGCCGACGCGGCTGACCACGATTCGTGGACAGACTTGTATCGTTATCTACCATATCTTCGTCAAGCTCTATCATGTTGTGTGTGCGGGAACATCATTTCTAAGCCTCGTGGACCAAGTCACAGCGAATGTCTACACAATGTATGCACTCACTGTGTGGGAGGTAAGATGAGGTTGAAACCTTCATGTAGTTGGTGTAAGGACTATGTCGACTTTCGAGACAATACACATTTGAGGATATTGGTGCTTTGTTTTCAAAAGCTGTGCGAATACATTTATGCCACACAGATTTGGACAGAGCTTACTGTGTCTTCGCCTAATGGTGAGACAAATCCACTGGTATCTATTATCAAAGAAGCCATGGCATTTGAAGATGACTATGTGTCAAATACTCACATTCCAAATCTACCTATGGCAATGCCAGTTTTGACACCTGCCACAATTAAACCAGTAAGAAAGAAGCATAGTTCCAACAGAGAACAGCCAGCAGATGACGTCAGTGAGGGGTCATCACAAGACCCCCCGACTCTCTCTCCCGAGTGTGACACCAGTCCGTTTGAAAAGGATGGCACAAAAACTTGCTCAAGTAAAGATGATAAAAGTGCACATATTGGTTTAGGGTGTGATTCTGTGCCAGTTCATGTACATCAAGACATGAGTCAGGTTAAATTGGGAGTGGATGCATACATGGGAAGGAGTCACCATGTAAGTTGCAAACACAAGTCTGAAAAACAGCTTGAAGTACATGCTGAAGAAGTAAGGAGCAAGTCTTGGAAAAATCAACGTTCTAACAGTCAGGATAATATCTTTGAACCACCAAGTAAACGGACACGAGCATCCTCTCTTCCAACTGGTTCAGAACTGTCCAGAAAAGTATGTAGATGTGCTCGAAATAATCCTCCAAATCGGTTGACATGCCTTGGTCAGAGATGTCCATGTTACAGCTCCAGAGTGCCATGTATTGGCTGTATGTGCAGAGGATGTCGGAATCCGAGAAAATTAGACTTCAAGGTTCTCACTGACCCTGACTGTGGTCACTATGACAATGCATGTGGAACTGGTATAAATTTGTGAACTTCTGGTTATGTGTTGCACAATGTTATATTCTTGTGACCAAAATGATCTGCAAGTGATAATCAGATTAAATTTTGATTTTGCTGTTTCATAAACATGATGAATAAGAAGTTCTCAAACAATATTAAATTCTGTTTCTGAAAATTCAGTTTGAGTATTTCTTTTTGGTCAGGATAGTTTTACTGTTGTGTTAGCAAGTATATAGTTGCAAAATGCATAAAATTAACTCAAGTTCAGATGGAAAGTGCTTGTTTTTACAAAGTTGTTTTTGTTGATTTGTATAAATATAGACACATGACAGAGGTGTGAGGGTTTTAGTCAACTTGAGATGTTTACAGGATGACTTATTGCTAAAAAATTAAGTGAGTTTCAGTTGTGGCAAGTTGTCCGTCGCCCATCCTTTTAATTGTTGTTCCATCGCTAATTTTTGGTTTTTAGATTTTAGACAACAGATTGTGAAACAGCAAGGTCGATGGAGCTGAAACTTTGTAATGATTGTAGGTGTGATGTCTCTAAAATGTGCTCACATAATTACAATCTGATCATAACTCCGCCACTGTGGGGGCCATATTGAAACATTTCAATATTGGTAATAAGTGCAGGTGTTGTTATGAAATTGCAGTGTGCTTCTGGGATTGTATTAGCCAGTCTATAGCCCTGGTCCAGTAAACATGGTAAAAATCTGTTTTGTATGGTAAGTTCAGCTGAATAAAGCAAAGTATGAAATGTTTAATTCTGAGATACCACCTCATACTAGCTTGCCACTATGTTTCATCAAATAATCTGCATGCAATGAAGCCATGGTAAATTTATGCATGTAGTTGCCAACAGAAACCATAACGACCATGAAAAGAAATAGTTTGAGCAACATCTGAGGAGATGGTCAGTATGATGGTACCGTTTCACCATCCAACACATTCTGATACTGAAGAAAATAGTGACGCAAGTTCAAGCAGGACCAAACTGTCCATGGACGGCAGACCTGCATTCTTACATATTTAACATTAGTACCCAGTTTCAATTATAGGGGTGGGTATTGCCGAGAATATTCATATTGTGATATATTGCGATGCGAAAGCATATATTGCGATATGTATTGCAATATATTGCAAGAATTTTTTTTTATCGAAAAACTACTTATAATCGAGTTAAAGCTTGATTTATAAAGCAAAAACCAAACAAAATCACTATGCTTGATTAGGCTTTAATTATAACTTTTAATCATGACAAAATAAAAATGTAAATGAAAGGAACAATTTTAAAATCGGAAATATCCAAAGATTTCCGAGTGTTAAGAAGTTTTCTGAATGCATGTCAAAATACTGGTTATCGATCAGCGTATCGCAATACGTATCGTTTTCATGCCTGAACTGGTAAATACCGGTAAACCGGTTATATTGTGCAGCCCTTTTCAATTACTCCATTACCGACCAAAGCCACAATTGCTTCAGCCATGGAAGAAAGGGTCAGTGTCAGTTGCCAATTAACAAAACCTTGAGCTAGAAATGTTCTGCTTGACTGATGATGCTGAAATTTGTCTCACAGTTTCACCTTTATGTAGTCATCTCCCTGAGGTTTGTTTTCTTAAAATATTTTAATCTAATTTTCTTAAATGTTTAAAACTCTTAATCTTGAGGACTCAACATGTTTTCCAGTTTTTCATGAGAAGAATCTTAACCTTGTTTTCAACTTTCTGTTTATTTTTCTGAAACGTTTCTCAACATGAATAATGTTTGGTTTTATAACCATGATCTCAGAAAGCTCAGGACAGGTGAAGATGAGACTTTTCAAGCTTGTAGCTCCTGTTTGATCAAGAGATTAATTTGAACATCTACTGATAATCTGCTCAAATTGTACTGTAGTACTGGGGAACATATGTGCTGATTTTTGCAATATTTAATTTTGAACTTGTTTTGACCATACACTTGAATTCTCAGAACATGCCTGTTAGATGTTCTGTTGAGGTGGTATCCATCTTTGTGTCTGAAGCAGCAGGAATGAAGAAGCACATAAAGATGAAATCATAGTGTGTTAGATAATTAGAACTGTCAATGCAGACATCAGCTTTCATAAGTGTGAGTCTTCGTTGATGTTTTAAGCTTATGATTTCATATCCTGCTGACTTACAGCATATTTCCATGAACAATGATAAGGAAACACTGTGCATATTTCATAGTTAGCAGATATTTTGAAAAGCAGTTAGCTTGTGCAAATAGAAATAAAATAAAGTGAAGTTCAATATTTAAATTTCTATAGAGGGCAGTGATAGGAGAAGAGGCCAACAAATTCTAATTCTGTATGAAGCACAATGTCCAATACTGATGTAGTATCATGCGTTGATTTACTTCTGTCAGTGGTGGTTTACAAATTATTGTGTATTCAAATGTATTAATTTCATAGTCCTTGTTATGTTTTATTATAATTAATTAATTTAAACATGATAAAAAATTTGGTTCTGGTCAATCAAATCCATAACTGAATGATAATAAACAAAACAAGATGATATCCCTGTGGCAGGTGTTCCTGTGGGTGTCTTCATTTCACAGATTGCTTTATCTTCCTGATCAGTGCTCATGATGTCAATCAGTAGATTGTGTGGTCCAGACCTGGTTATATACATGCACCATACAGTTGGAATATTGCTGAGTTCGGTACATAGGTTATATGTGGCTGTCAGATCTGTGTGGCCTCAACACAAAATTTGATGATCTAGTCCTCACATCTCACTTTTACAAAGAGGAGGACTATTGCATTTTTAGCGTGCTGCATTATTTGCAGCACGCTACTGTCTTAAATTCCTCAATATTCTATTGAACATGTTAATCATGTTATATATATGGTTATTTAACCCTTCGTGTGGTACTACTGGTCACAAAGAGTTTGGTTTATAGTTTGGCATGAAATGCATGTGGACCCGTTATTTTGTAAATATCTCTTCATCCAATGACCCAATCGATCTCAAACTGTGCAAGTGGATGTTTTGTCAGACAACCTAATCACATTGTAAATCACCGATTTTATGCATTTATATTAAAGAATCTGTCTATGTAACTGTCAACAAAATAAACAGCAGAACGCAAACTGCTTGCAGAGGGAGGGAGCGAATGACCTGTAACAGCAGCAGTGTTGGGTCATAAGGGTCAACGTTCGTCAATGTAGGTCAGCTATGCACGTGACAGGTATGAAGAGGTGTTCATTTCTAGCAAATAGCCGGCGAATGACATCTCTGATGACCCTGATGTAAAAAGAATCTAACTTTGGATGCCTACCTTTTTGTACAAGGTTTTGTTTATTGGTTGTTGGTTTATTTTTCACAATTGTTAGCACGATGTTCTTTTTCATGCCAAGAACAAAAGTTGTACGTTTCATGTAATCCGACACCTTATAAATCGGTTTGCTACGTTTGCTCTCTTTTTAAAAAAAATTCAACACATTTCTAATTAAACGTTTAGCATCATCTGAAAAAGCTTTCATGATGACAGATAGAAGTAGTCAATGTGAATGATCCAAACGGTCTATCACTGTGCAGTGCACAGGCAACTATCATGAACTGCACGTGCATTGACCTTTATGACCCAACACTGCCGCTGTTACAGGTCATTGGCTCCCTCCCTCTGCAAGCAGTCTGCGTTCTGCTGTTTATTTTGTTGACAGTTACATAGACAGATTCTTTAATACAAATGCATAAAATTGGTGATTTACAATGTGATTAGGTTGTCTGACAAAACATCCACTTGCACAGTTTGAGATCGATTGGGTCATTGGATGAAGAGATATTTACAAAAACGGGTCCACATGCATTTCATGCCAAACTATAGATAGCATGTGATTACACAATGCCATTTAGAAAGTGGTCAAATGCAACATATGTTATATTTGGGATTACACTTTCTTAGTAAAGTACAAATTCTAGTACTTTTTGAGTTGAACCCCATCCGGGATTCGAACTCACACCCTCAGAGTCAGGCACCTAATCGCCAGCACACAAAGTCAGCCGCCTAACCCATTCAGCTACCGCGACTTCCACAAAAATGGAAGTCGGACAACTGGTAGTCTAGACTGCCGGCTTTGTGTACCCCTCTGATAAGTGTTAATTGGCACGGCTCCCACGATGTGTAATCATAGCTTTCGGTCTCGATTAGGTGGCGGTCTAGACTACCAGTTGTCCGACTTCCATTTTTGTGGAAGTCGCGGTAGCTGAATGGGTTATGAATGGGGCGGCTGACTTTGTGTGCTGGCGATTAGGTGCCTGACTCTGAGGGTGTGAGTTCGAATCCCGGATGGGGCTCAACTCAAAAAGTACTAGAATTTGTACTTTACTAAGAAAGTGTAATCCCAAATATAACATATGTTGTATAGATAGCATGGACCTAACGGAAGTAATCATCAAGGGAGTTACATTTATTACAGTATCAACAAGTTATCTCTGTCGGAGGATCTTGGCATGTTAGTTCAAGATAGGTGTTAAAATCCTGAAGAAAAAGTTTCAAAAGAGTAATTAATGGTCATTGAGTTTGTTACATACATATATGAACAAATAATTATTTTTAAACAAATCATCATGATCAGTTAGTTTGCTAATATTTTTGCATATGGACAAAGAACTGTGCATTGTAGTATGTTAATCCTTAACAAAAAGTAATATGCTGTTGGTCAAAATGTGCATGGGCGGCAGGTCAGGACTTTCCCAATTTGTTTAGAGCATTTGTTGTTCCTTGGCTTGTCAAAGGTAAAGCAGCCATTGCTTCAGGACCAGGGATCTTCAGCAGTTCAGACACTCAAGTGACTTACTTCAAAAAGTGGCATTACCTTTGCAGTCTGAACAATAAATATGACATCAATTATCTTCTCTTATAACAGTTTCGTGATATAGCTGGTTACTTCTGTGAATGCCAGATAATCAGCAGATCCATTTACGACATTATGGGCTGTGGTCAAATCATTGTTTCTATTGGATGTAAAAGACGAATATACTTACAAAATAGATGAATGGATCACAGACGTGAAGACATTAAATTTGTATCTTGTTTACATCAACAATTACAATACTGTATTTTTGTTTTAATTATGTAAATAAGTAAGTTAAAATTACAGTAATAAATTCAATTACAAAACGTTTTAAAATCTCTTTCATAAAATATGGCCTAAACTTTGTGTAAATTTGTTTCAGCTGTCGTAAATAGTACTTGACATTGTTTTCCTAAACAATGTTGCAAAAAGAAATGTTTACATAGTATGTCTGTTTTAGAATCTATTGCATTAGTTTATCTCAACTCTTCATAGATATTTGAACCAGAGGTTGATTGGTCATAACATAAAGTTCACCTGAAAGGTGAGCGAGCTACAGAGCTTTGGGGCTCTTTTCTTGGTCAAGTATTATGGGCTGTGCCATTCCATATCTGCAATACAATATGAGGTTAGTTGTACATTAAATACATACCAAAACACACCAGCATGCATCGATTATGAGTTATTTTATTGTCAGTCACTTGAATTAATCAGCATACAGAAGATGGTGAAGAATTGGAAATATCACTTGTTCATGTTAGAAATTTCTCAGTATCAAGAGATGATGAAATGTATTGTCATGTTGTATAGTTTCGTCTCCTATTCTCATGGGTTTCCTATTGTCGTGGTAAACACGTTTACTGCCAATATCGCCGATGCGACACCGAGTGGTTGTCATTCTTGCCGACCGGTAACTAGGAAGTGGCCCAAGTCTGCGAGTGATCA